CAAACAAACAAACAAACTAACAGGGGCGAAAACATAACCTCCTTGGCGGAGGCAATAACAACGATCAATAACCTCCTTGGCGGAGGCAATAACAACGATCATTAGTAAAATATAGTTAGTACATGGAGATCAGTGAGCTCCCCTCTATTTCATCAGAGCACGTATATTTCATTTATTAGCATTCGCTTGATAAATACCAATCTCAACACAGAGGGCGTTGTGAAGCAATAACAGGGATATTTCTCAGCAGCCGGCTGAAAGGTGCGATAGGATATGTTTACTAGGCACTTCTAATTTTAACATATATTTTAAATTTAATTAGGGTCAGGGTTAGGGTTAGGGTTAGGGTTAGGGTCAGGGTTAGGGTTAGGGTCAGGGTTAGGGCACTTTTTAGGGTTTTTGCATCATTCTTTAATATATCGTAAAATATATGTTAAAATTAGAAGTGCCTATACTATAGTAAACCTATCCTATCGCACCTTTTAGCCGGCTGCTATTTCTCATAGCTCTCAGCAGCTCTCAGCTCCTTTACTCGTTCCACATCTCGCCACCAGATGTAAAAACTCAATAAATAATAATAAATAATAAGATAATAAAACTTAAAATTCATATAGACACATGTCTTCGCTATAATCTCTGTGAATATTGAGTTTATTGAAGCGCAATTAGATTAATTAATTAGCAAATGTGCACGCGCGCGGTATCGCTCATCTAATATGGGCCCTACGCACGGCGGCAGGAAATTGTATCTCGCGAACGAGTTGGCTTATAATTCTAGATATTTAGATACAAATAGACCAACAGATAGACACATGTCTTAGCTATAACCTCCGTGAATTTTTATTCTCTTATTATATATTGAGTTTTTACATCTGGTGGCGAGGTGTGGAACGAGTAAAGGAGCGAGAGCTATGCTGAGAGCTATGAGAAATATCCGTAATCCCGCGAAATCTGACCGGTGACCGGTTGCACAACAACAACTGTCAACAAGACACAATTTGCAACATGACCGCCATGAGAAGGTTAACGTTGATGTGGTTGGTCACATTTTTAGTGTATAATGGAGCCAATGGATTAGATCAACCAAATTTCTTTATCGGAACTGGAAGAGCTGACATCACTGGCCCTGCAGCAGAAATCAATATGGTTTGTTTAATTTCTAATTACTAAAGTATGCTTGTACGTAACGTAGCTCCAAGAAACGGTATTGCTAGGGTTAGAATAGGTGGTGATTGACGTTAGCAGTTAGAATATTGACGTTAGTCACACAGCCTGGTCGGGTTAGCTCGTACGTAGCTATAGTACTACTACGTACTATAGCCTATCTATATAGGCCTGTGGCGAATAAGGGCGAGTATAGTACCAGAACTAGCTCGTACGTGTGCACGCACGCGAACACGCAAAGAGAAAGAAAGAGAGAGAGAGAGAGGTGGGTGTGAG